GAGCAGGGGGCTAGAGCAGGAGCTGCTGAATGCCATGGCTGTCTATCCATCATTCCAAATTCCTGATCGTACCTTTTTTATCAAAGATCTCCAGAAATCATAAAAGTTAAGATCACAGATGGGCAACTTGTTGCAAGATCTGTAGACTGGAGCTCGATAGCAAAAACTTGATCTGCTCTGTAATCTGGTCTTTCTCCAGCAGAAATGTGTCCACCAGATTGTTAAAATACAGACATCATCTGGCATGGTCCCTCACACAGTCGTGTGATGTGAAATGTCCACTTTGTGGTCAGATTAAAGGTGAGCTTCTGGTCATGCCTGGAGAAAGGCCAGGGAATACCATGCCCTCAGGTGTCTGCTGCAAATGTTCTTATGTGGTTGCCCAAGCCATGGCAGGGGATCTCTGTGCCTTTGGGCTTCTGGTTGGTCTTTTTTCTGTCCTGCTTCCTTAATCTCTCTGTACCTCATGTTTGTGAAGGCACAACTGCCTTTTAAACTGATTTCTGAATGAAAACAGTCATCTGGATGGTTGATATCTGGAGAAGTGATGAAGTATAAACAAATGCCTGTGAGGTTCCAGAAAGTATACAGCCATCCCTGATGACAAAGTGAATTCCAAACAGCTACTTACTATTCTTCATGTTGTGATTAGTCTGATGGGGTATTTCTTCCTGCAAACTGCAATTCTCCTATGGAGCTTCTTGCTACATGATGCTGTGAGTGCCAAAGTTTTTACTGGTTTAAAAAAAGATTTGATGGATTCATGGGGGAGGGAAGGGGGTGGGAAATCCGTCAGGGGCAATATTAAATGCTGAGGTACTATTTGCAATGTATAAAATCTGTGCTGTGGAGGTTGCTTAAGCTGGGAGACTGCCCCACCACAGGAGAAGGGGTACTGTGTGAAGGGACCTGAGGTGTGCTCCAGTGTTCTCTAGATCTCTACCAGGCCTCCAGCAGTCACTGCACCACTCAGCAATTCTTGTTTCACAATGTGCTGAGAGACTAGGGGAACTGTGACCTCTACTCCAGGCTGAAATCTGACCTCAGAATTATAATTTATTTCAAATTTACTGAAGTATTTAGTCCAAAAGGATATTTTATGGAGGACAGAGAAGAATATGGGGAAGACATGAATGTTTTACACACAATATTTTGCACTTCCCTAGCTAAAAAGCAATTAAATAAATTTTCTTCTAATTGCTCATAGCATAAGATGGAAAATAAGTGGAATCCCAGCCTTTTAAAAGATATTTTGAAAATAGTATGAGTGAAAAATATATGTTCAGAATTAGAGTCTGATTTAATAAAATCCTATCGAATTTAGAAATCAAAATTTTATATTGATCATCTTTAATATCTCAATATGTCTCTTTACAAATGCAACTGTTTACAACCTTGAAATTTGTCTAATGCTGCTGCTATATGGAATTTATGAATAACTAATGGGGTTACATGGATTCTGTTACTCATTCTTAGTATCCTGGATATATATTTGGAGCTAATATTTTTATGTATATTTAACGTAATATATATAGAATTGCTCAGGGCAGAATTAAAGCTGTGTCCAACTATGAAAGCTCTTTGCTTTATCTGTTTACTGAATCATTAAGCAAATACTACCGTGTTTCCTGCATTTAGGCTCTTAAAATTATTGTCTTTATGTTAGAAATAATTCTGTTCTACGCGATTAACGTGACGTGTTCGTATAAGACAAAATGGTCTTCAGTGTAAATTAGGCCTACAGAATTTACCTCAATGTGTGTTGCTTATGAGATTTCTTCAGCATGGCCCTTTTCCTAAGGCATACATTTATCAGCTGAAATCTTGATTGTTTTGCCTGTATTATGTCACTCACGTCTGGCAAGAGCAGCATCCTGCTGTTTGTGAAGCTGACCTCCTGCTGCTATTTAGCCACTTGTAGGATTCTATCCCAATTCCTCTAATCCACTCTGTTTCAATAGCACCATATTTGGGCTCCTTCACAGATTCTTTTGCTGCTCTGTTTGGGATGCTCTATGAGCTGAATTAGAATTTTAATGTTCCGTTCAAAACAGAAGGAACCTTTTTGTTAAATGAGAACATAAGGAATAATCTCCTCCGCTCCCTTGGACAGAATTTCTACACATGCACTAAATTATTTTCCTTCAAACTTTTGTCCAGAAGTTTGGGGCACTATTTCAGTATATTGGCTTACTTTGTATAAATCAGATCCAATTTGAGGTTTAATGTTGCAGTAAGGCCTGCTACCACCTTAAGTTGTTTCTTTCCTGTTGTAACTCCTCATTCAGAGTTCAGTGCTCCTTGTTTCCATTATGTCAAGGGTTTACTGAAATCTTTTCAAGCTCCTTGTGCAAGTCAGGCCTAATTAAAGCAGAGAACTGAAAGGACTCCAAAAATGGTGTTAGAAGTGACACCAAAGCACAAAGTGCACTGTAGGTATTTTTGCCATACTTACAAGAAGTCAGCAAAGATTTGCATTTGTATTTTTCCAGCAGCTATTTTCTGATCCCCACATAAAACAAGGTTTAGAGAAAACAACTTAAAGCTTGACTGGTGTATATATGTATACACATCTACATCTATATGTGTTGTCTGTCCCTTTACTTCATAGCTGAGCCTATTAACTTTGCAAGATCTATTTGTAGCTAAGATAGCAATTGGAAAAAAATGGGATAGCAAAACATGATCCTTTTTAACACAGAGCTTCTAGGCTTACACTTGCCTTAAGAATTGTTCTTTAGAGAATGGGATTTAGTTTATTGAAAATAAAAAGAATGTGGTTAAATTATAATTTCAATTTTATTCTATAAAAAGGAAGAAGTTCCTTGGACACACTCTAATACTGCTTGAGTCTTTGTTGTACAGTTTAAAAAAAATCTCCAGTGCAGTATATATAACCCTAAGTGTATAAAGAGAAAAAAGGCATCATGAAGGTGAAACATATTTCAACAACTTCACAAAATGTCTCTCACTTGTACCAAGCTTCCCATTCTGGAAAATTCAGAATGTTTTTTAGAGTTGTGTCGTCTAAAGTTCCCTCAAGGTGCTGGATCATCATCGGCAGGAGCCACTGTGCCAAGACCTGATGAGAAACACCATCCCATGGATGGGGTTAGGAATGCAAGGGGAAGCTGGAAAAGACAACAGCTACAGCAGGGGAAGGAAAAAGAAAGTGAAGGTGAAACAGGGAGAGAGGTAGCAAGGTATGGGAAGAGGCAGAGGAAACCATACTGAAGAAAGAAATGGGACAAAGAAAATGTATTATATGACCTCCTTTCTTGCATTTAGAAAGGAATATGTATATATGATTTGTTCACAAATGTGTTAACATTTTTAATGGTGGCAACATATAGGAAAGACGCTTAAAAACTTTTATCAAGGGATTTATTCTAATACAAAATGAAGAGCTTTGTAAGTGATCCATCTATGCAGTATCAGTGTGAAGACTTGTGGTTCTGCTGCTCCTTCTCTGTTTGTACTTTAAAATTAATTGAAAGCCTCATTGTTTTGTTTAAACTGTGAAAGCTTCCAAGGTCAATGAGTGAGGTAATTGACCTGCCTGTTGTAGGACAAAAATATGTATGTTAAATTGCATAATTAGTTTTAATTACATAATTATGGTGTTTAATGTGGGGGGGTCAAAGGTTACTATTACATTTAGAAGTCATGGCAAGAAACACAAAAATAAGCAACATAGTTTAATTCTGTGTTTCTTTGCGTTTTAAAAAAAGGGTCCACTGTGATCTGTCCTTGACCTTGGATATTTGATGATTATAACAAATAATATATTGCTGTTACACTTTTTGGAATCATAGAGACACCTTTGTAAATGACTAAGTGACTTTACCAAAGACTTCATTTAGGTTTAGAGTACACAAAAGTTAATCAACAGTGGGAACTCAACTGACAGCAATTTAATCTGATTGGGTAAGGTAATTACATGATTACCAGGAGTGTTTATATATGGAGAAGGATATTTTTATTGGAAAAAACCCTAATTGCTTTCTTACCAAGAAGAGAAAAAAACAAACAAATTTGTTGTAGCAGGTTAAGAGGACATCCTTCATTCCTTGAAACAGCTTCTTTTCATATTTTAGTGACAAAATAAACTCATAATTCTTTGAAAATTTGTACCGGGATTATGTTATGAGTTCCTCTGTTTCTGAACTTGAAATAATGCCATCAGTATCTTGTTTTGTTTAAGCAGCTCATTGATTATCTATCTATTGTGTGATAGCCTAAAGATGTCACAATGCTTGTAATTCATTATCTCTTTTACTGTGTGTAAACACTGTTGCTTAAATACGGGTTGATTTCAGCAGACTGAAACCTAAAGGTCCATTATACTAATGGATATTTCTGTGAAGGAGGGCACTATTTGTTTTTCCATGATGGTAAAAAAAAAAAAAAAGGACACAATGTAAAAGATAGGGAGATAAAAGACGGTCTTCCTACATGTTAGAAGAAAAAGTATCACTTTAGGTTCTCGGAGTGGTCCTTCAGAATATGCTCTTTCATTCTGTTGACAATGAACGGAGTGCTGGGAGATGTATCTTCATTAACAAACATTAACCTCTGTGCTTACCTCCCTGAAGTGCACTACAGAGTAGAATCCCATTTGGATAATAAATACTGGCTTGCTCCAAAGCCTGTTGAAGTTCTGGGCCAGGCCTGGCCTTGGCACTTCGTAGACTGGTGTTAGATGCCAAAAAAAAGAAATTAAAACTTATAACTTCATATCTCATCAGTAACTATTGAACAGATTCTGCCAATGGAAATGGGGCAAAATCCTCCAAAGTCTAACTTCTAAGGAATTGAAAGTTAATGAACTAGATATTAAATAAGAAATTAATGATTTTTTGAAATTAAATATAACTTTATGGGAAGAAGTTCTCTGACATATTCCGTGTTATAAAAATAGCTTGTTCTTCCTTGTGCTAGTTTTTACTTAATAAGTGCTTTAGAAAATATTACAATTTTGAATTGTTTTTCTAAACCAGATGATCCAGTCACTGTTGGAGGCACATAGCCACGGCAAAATCTCATGCTGTACATTGATCACCTGTCCAACCTTTGCCTAGAGTGTGATCCCCAGTTCCTTCAAGAGATCCATCTTTACCTGTCTATAAAGAAGAAGAGGAGGAGGGAGACATCTGGGATATTCAAGTATCAAAGTTTAACACCAGAGCAGGTTGAATCTTGATTTATATTATTCTCTATGTATGTTGCTAGTATTGACTTGGATATTTGGCTGAAGATTTTTTTTTTCAGTAATTATATAGTATGCTCTAAAGTTTTACCGGTGTTAAAGCATTTTTGTTTAAACTGCGCGTGCGTTTGTCACAGTTCCGTGGTGTGAATCCAAACTCGCTCTGCTGTTAAGGAAGGCAGCTAATATTGAACATGCCTGGCAGTCTGTACCTCTCTCTTGAACGTATGCTGGCCACAGAGACTAAAATGGCTTGTTTCAAACTGTTCAGTGTACTGCAGTTGTAGCATTCCGTGTTTAGCACACAACTAAATCCAGGTCCCCAGCAGATGCACTCAGTTTCATTCACTTGTTAAACTCACTTTTTACTCTTCCTCTTCCATTTCCAAGAGGACTTTGATATCCCCAAAAAGCCAAGGTTTCGCTTACTGTCCTAAGGACTGCCCCTTTAGGAGTCTAGCACAGCCCACACACAAACCTGGAATATGTCCAACTTGTTCTTTGAGCAGAATGTGAACCTCTGACCTCCTGGGCCTCCGGCAAGAGTGCTGCCTACTGAGCCACCAATACCCAGGCCATCAATAAGTTTTAAATGCCAGTTGCAGACTTCACAGAGATAATGACTTCAGTGTGTAAAGGTTTTGTTGTGGAGGCTGCAGTCTCACATATGGCGTGACAGAGTAAATATGCTAAAACCATAGAGAGCTGTTGCATAACTTGCCTTGATATAACAGTTTTTGTAATATTTTTCAAGGCATGGAATATTATTTAAAGGGACCCTGTTATGTAGGCTTAGGCCCAAAATGAAGCTATTATGAAAAGAATGTTTAGCAAAACCAGAAATATGTCCATGAAATTGTTGGAGTGGGAATTTCAGGGTAACCCTGCTTGGATTTAAAGTCGCCTGCATGACATTGCACTGTTGTGCTAGGGAATGAGAACCAGCAAATGAAAATACCATTAAGTGAGAATCAGAAACTGAGAAGAATAAAGATGTTAGAAGGCTATTACTATTATTGCAACTTTTTGAAGATCTTACCGCATCCTGAGAAAGATGAGGTGAAAAAGCTAATTCCAATGCAGTGATTCAAAGCACCATTATTGACACAGGTAAAAACATGTATTTGCATTTTGATAGTATTTTTAACCTGATCACAAGTAAGTTCTTGTATTCTATGTACTTATAAAGGAAAATGAATATGAAATAAGCTTTCAGGTTTTTGGCCAATTTCAGTTTTATTGATGTTCTCTATTTAAAATTTAGCATTAAAAGCATGCAATAGATATGTTGATGTTTGCAATACTCAAATTGATAAATGTGATTATACAAAAGGTTATTTATAGACTTGGATCAGGAAGGAAAACATGGCCACATTCAAGCTAAGACTTACATTATGGAAAGGCTGTTAGATAAATTGCATGAACCTTCTATGGAGCAAAGGCCAGAACCCAGGACTCCTTTTCCCAGCTGAGTCCCCAGATCACTAGGCTACAGACTCTTGCTCCCTCTTGTGTTCTTTCTCTGGCCCACTGAATCTTGAATTATTTTCTGTACAATGATAGCGCTTCAATAGGAGAACATTGATTTATCCCTACCTTTGTCCCAGCATTTACCACAGCCTGCAGCCGACTGACTGGAACATTCCACTAAAAGACACTGCTCTGAGTCCTAGACCAAAGAAGGAAAGGGACCTGGGGATTTGGGTCCTGGGATGGGTAGTGCTGCTGCTAGACTGTGAATGACTGTTCATGTACCATTTTAGAAAGAAATAGCACCTGAAGAATTCTGTAGGAAACCCACCTGGTTGGTGTTTATTAGGCTGGCTTAGGCTGGCTTTGAGAGCACCTGGTGGATCAAACTCCTCAGATCACCTGTGCAGGGGTGGGTTTCATTCCTAGCTCCCTGTCAGGCTTAAACATAAGCTGAGCTGTGAGATGCTCTGCCCTGGCCGGGCCAGTAAACTCTGTCCATCACAGAGATGCAGCTGCTGGGTCTGGCCCATCTTGCCATCAAAAATTGTATTGTCTTTAGAGAATAGACATCTCCAGGATGAGGTAAGGGCCTTCAGGATCACCATTTTGGCTAGACATGCCTAAATTCTCCTCATGACCCATTTTGAATTCCCATATTTTTAGGCTTGTAATTAGTTTATTTTAATTTAACAGCTCCTTTGAATGTAGAACTGAGAGATTTTTATGAATCTGTTTTTCAAACATAAGTTTTAAAGAATGTGTTGTAATTAAACAAGATGACAGGAAGAATTTGTGGTTCAGAAGTGCATTGACTGTGTGTTTTGAAGCTTTAAAAAGTGAAATTGCTTTAAATGTGTTAATGCTGTTCAGGCAATTGTGTAGAGCAGTGTCTATTAGATCTGATCTCAGGAATAGTTAACTAAGTTAACTGC